AGGAGAAGTAAGAGGCCTGTACCAGAGGGAGAGCTTTCTCCTCTTCTTCTGTCCCTATTACTTCCATCAGGCCCACATCTTGCACGTTGGTACCAGGCTTCGTACTAGAGTCGAATTCCGGTGCCGAATGGAGCAGTGCGGGAGCCAGCCTCTCAGACACAACTGAGCAGGATCAGTGGGATGACGGCCCCAATACCGGGGGAAACCCCCATAGGTTCCAGAATGGCCACTGCATCGGCCACTGCCCTGATGGCCAGGTGCCAGTGAGGGGACCTGCACCGGGATCCAGTGGGATGTAGGATGGATACCGCCAGTGACTCTTGGGTTGGGAGTAGGACTCCATCTCAGATTCCGAAGAGGCGGCCTCCTGAGGTGACCATAGGGGAGCAGTACCCCTTGCTTCTGCCAGTTGGTGCCACGGGTGCGGGGACTGGTGCCAGATTGGGGATGAGCTTACAGATGAAAGAAGGGCTGGCTTGCCTCTGGAAGGTTCTGAGGGCCCTGGTGCTGGGAAAGAGCTTGGAGCTCCATGCTCTCTTCTGCTCACGCTCATCAGAGCAGGCAGTTGTCCCATTGGGGTTGGCAGCACCAGGAGAGATAATAAGTCCCTGGCTGCTTCAAAGGCCTCCAGGGTAGAAGGCACTGCAATCCCATTGGCACAGCAATGACTTCCTGGCGCGGGCGGGGGGGTTCCTGCACCGAGCTCAACTGCTCTCGGGCAGAGTTGACGGTGCAGCCATAGGACTGGGGAGTGGCCTGATGTGGGTTGCACTCCACTGCCTTCCCCCTGTTTGCCTTTTCTTGGCACTGGGGAGTGTCTTCTCTTGGAGTGCTGTTTCTTATGTTTCTTCCTCAGCACTGGAGATGAAGAACGGTGCCGAGAAACATGCAGTGCCAGAGGGGCGCTTCGCACTGAAGTGCTTGGTGCCCAATCCAATCGGCTTGGCTCTGACGCTGGTCTAAGAGCGGCTTCCATTAGGATAGCTCTCAGTCTATCCTCTCTAGGGTGACCAGACAGCAAGTGTGAAAAATCAGGACAGGGATGGGGGGTAATAGGAGCCTATATAAGAAAAAGACCCAAAAATTGTGACTGTCCCTATAAAATCAGGACATCTCGTCACCCTAATCCTCTCTGTCTTTCTTCGTACAAGACTTAAGGTCCCGACAGATCTGACAGCGCTCTTGTACGTGAGCCTCTCCCAGAGGCTTCAGACAACTGGAGTGTGGGTCGCTCACTGGCATAGGCTTGAAGCCCGGGGACTGGGGCATGCCTGGCCCCAGGGGAAAAGGGAGCCCCTCTACACTAAAGGAGGGGGACTAACTATCTACACTAATACTATTTACACTACTACTACACTAACATACTAAGTTGAAGAGAAAAAAAGACACTGAAAAAACGCCTTGCCAAAGCAAGAGGAGCTGTTCCAGTAACCGTCACAGGTGGTAAGAAGGAACAGAGAGGGTGTGGAGCTGGCAGTGCCCCTTATACTGGCGCATAAACGTGCGGCAGCAGAGGATGCTAGAGCCAGTCCGATGGATACCACTAAGGGAAAAATCTCCAGCAATGGTGCATGTGGTGCGCACACATCTAACGTGGAATGGACATGAGCAAGCACTCGAAGACGAACATCTCTTATTTATTTTTCCAAATCTCAAGATTCAGGTTCACCACAATAAATAAATACTGAAATAAAAACGGAACTTTAGCAACTAAACTAACTTTGGTAGCCTATCACCTCAGCTAAAAAGCTAAAAGCTTCCTTTAGTGTCCTCTGGCTTCAGGTGACGTTTGCTTGCAGTGTTTAGCTTGTTTTAGTCTCGGTCTACAGTAGGTTCTATGGGTGAGATTCCCTAGCTTGAGTAGTCATACTTGTGCTAGCTCAGTAGGGTAGGCATGGTAGCATGGCAGTGGCATGGGCTAACTGTGCTCAGTAAAACCTGCCTGAACCCCATGGATACATACTTGGCTCAGCTAGTCTGTGCCACCATGGCTACATCACTGTGTTTAGCGCCCACTCAATGAGAGGTAGCGTGAGTATGTCTATGCGAGCTAGGGAATCACACCCCTCGCTTCTAGTGTAGACAGAACCTTAGTTTTACAGTGTAGTGATGTTAAGGACATACCCAACCTGACAAAGCATTGCCACCTGCTCAGAGTTTTGTCCTAATTTTGGTAGGGCTCTGCCACTTCCAGCAAATGTGGCCACAAAGGAATTGTATTTGGGGGTGGTATTGCATGAGAGTTCCAGTACAATTCTGTGGGACAATGAAAGTCATGAAGGTAGCAATCATATGCTACATGAATGTATGCAAAGGGAAAAGAGAACTCAAGGCTTTACATGTTTCTGTTAACTACTAAGACATATAATAGGTACATCTAAAATAGCTTCCTTTTCTCTCTTTCAATCTATTCTATGTATACAAGGTGTACCCATATCTATTTTTAATTAATGTAGTATTGTCTCAAGAGGCTACAAAATCAGTTTTGTCCGAAATACATGACTTGGCATTACAACTTATGCACAATTTGTTTTTGCACCAAAATTCCTAGAAACTGCGTCTGTATAAACCAGTGGTTCTCAAACTTTTGTACTGGTGACCCCTTTCACCTAGCAAGCCTCTGAGTGCGACCCCCTTTATAAATTGAAAACACTTTTTTATATATTTAACATCATTATAAATGCTGGAGGCAAAGCAGGGTTTGGGGTGGAGGCTGACAACTCGCGACCCCTCATGTAATAACCTTGTGACCCCCTGAGGGGTTCCGACCCCCAGTTTGAGAACCCCTGGTATAAACTATCAATTTATGTGACAGTTTAATGATAAATTACCAATACAATATATATATATATACATACACCCCTCTACCCCGATATAACGCGACCCAATAGAACACGAATTCGGATATAATGTGGTAAAGCAGTGCTCCGGTGGGGGGGCGGGGCTGCGCACTCCGGCGGATCAAAGCAAGTTCGATATAACGTGGTTTCACCTATAACGCGGTAAGATTTTTTGGCTCCCGAGGACAGCGTTATATCGGGGTAGAGGTGTGTGTATATATATAAATTGAGAAGAATCAGTTTCCCAAACAGCTGTGGAAGTTTAAGTTAATTTTTGGATAACCTAGACTTTACAGAATCCTTTTTCAGGATGACCATGTATCTGTTTAAAGAAACCAGTGAAGAATTTTAAGACTGCTTGTTTAGGATTTATCTATACTCAAAAGACACCTTCTCTAATTACCCTCTCACCATCTTCAGTACAGCAGGGAGTGAGAGAAGACCGAAGCACAAGGATGGCAGAATGGGGGCTGTCCCACTGCTCCTTTCAACCTTTAGTCCTCCACTTAGTCATTAACTGGGCCAGGGGAGATGGGCCCACCTGAATGGCGGGCTGCTGGATGCACCTCTCTTCCTCCACCTATTAAGCTAGTTTGGGTGTTTCAAAAGTCTCTTACCCTACTGTTAGCTGCCCCTCCCTCCCCTTCATTAGTTGTAGATTTGGAGCTGTGCCATTTATGATGCTGTTGGTCTAACCAGTCACCTGTTTCTAGGGATCAGAAAGGAATTTTTCCCATTAGGGCAAACTGGCATGAGGTCCAGTGGGTTTTTCCACCTTCCCTGCAGCCTCCTGGAGGCACAATTGGGTTGAAAGCAGAAGAATTCCAAAATTCATGTAATGCTGGTATGACCACTGACTCGTTGCAACTTGTGGCTGGTGTTCTGTGTGCATAAAGACTAAAAGGGCCAGCTCCCAGAGGTAAACAAGGACCCAGGATTTCACTGGTGGACCTTGTTCTCAGCAGAGGAGAGGGAGTCTTTGCGGACTGAAACAGTCCCCAGCCCTGTGGTCTCTATCATTGCAGTACCCAAGTTATTGTTTGGTTTGTGGTTAAAGTCCTGTGAGAGCACAGGGCAGGCACTGTAGTTCCCCGCCTCAAGGTATAATTAATAGGGTTGTGGCTTACCGATTAATTCCATCGCAAGTGTCTGTCTCTCATTCACCTGCATGACCTGGTCAGTCTACTCATGATTCTGCTTGGCTTGACCGCTTGATAATTGATTTAATGGTGGTTTATTTAACTTTGACAAACAAATCCCATATTAACCCCAGGTACATGATCTGTCTGTAAGAAGACATAGGTTGATCGGGGTGATCAGGATCCAGATGCTATCAAAATTTTAGATTCCTTCTGAGTTTGGATTTTTATACAAACTATATCTGTGATCTGGATGCAAATCTGGATCTGCCATCCTGACTGAACAGGTGGAACTTTTTTGAGAACAGATTTTATCACAAAATTTCCATAATTTCTGTTTTCCCCAGCATCTTGCTTACTCCCATCTCTTGGGCCCCCACTCGCTAATGCTGTCTTGTGGTAAATGGGTTCATTTGCTTGTCTCCCCCTCCCTGGTTCTTCAGTGTGTCAGTTGGTGACACTTCCCTAGTTCTTCTTTTGAGGATCACCTGATCCTGCAATCAAATCCCCAAGGGCAGGTCCCCATCCTGGAGTGGAGCCACAGTGGGACTCTGCAGGGCATGAGAGTCTGTGCTGGTGGCTCCAGTTGCAGGGTAGGGGTCTTACAGAATGTTGCCATTTATGTGTTTACAAAACTCTCTCTGCAAAAAAATTCAGGAAGCAAAAACAGTACGTCTTGCACAGCTTTTAATTCAGCATGTGCCTAGTATTGTATTATTTCTCAAATCAAAACACAGATGTTTCATTCAATAGTTTCATTCCCAAATGCATTCATTTGTCCACATTGTTATATTTGCAAAATACAAACTAATATCTATTGAAGAAATAAAACCAGTTTATAGCTTTCTCTTGTGCAGGAAAAGGCTCTAACCATTGCATTGAATTATGACTGGTAAAGAAATCAGGCCTATATTTATTGGGTACCAGGACTCTGAGCTTTGTAATTTTCCACTGCATACACTTTAAATATTTTAGTGGGTTCACCCTAGAATTGCTTTTCAGTATCTTCTGCATCATTTACCTTCTCCAAGTGTCCTGTGCAGTAAGTCATGTTTTGCTTGCAGCTTTGTGATGAGATTACTCCCTTCCAGGAATTCTCTGAATTTCTGCAGAGATGAAAATCAATGGATTAATTTTATCTGTTACTTCAATTCCTTTTGAAAACACTTACTACAGGTGTTTGGACCAGATCACATGGCTGAAGAAGCAACCAACATACCATGAAATAGAACTGCTCAGTCTCCTGCTGGTTAGCTCTTCTTTTTGCAATGCTGGGCTTACTCATGTACGTCTCAGAGACTGTTGACTTCACAGACTCTGTAGAACGACTGTGCTGGAAACATTCTGACACGTCATAGTCCTCAATGGTGACCATGTCTTGTATTGTCTGCAAAGTCGCTTCTGTCGTTTTCTTAACCTGGTGTGAATAAGTGCAATTTATGGAATAGAAAGGAAGATAAATTCTAGAAGCAGCTTACAATGGAAACTAGTGATTGAAATGAATTCACTCTTACATGCCTTGTGAATGAACTGCGGTGTATGACAATAGCAAGTGACATGATCTACACTGGTGTAGAATAGAAAAAAGAGATCATTGGTTCCTAGGTCTATGTTTTAATAAGTTACTATAAGCAAATATAGGCTGCTCTCCTGTTGACTGAGTAACAACCTCAGAATTTGTCATCTGAACAAGAAAGTGGAAAAAAAAGTGATAGTGAATAGAAACAGTACTGGTACTCGAACCTGAACTGTTGGCTCCCCAGATTAAAATATGATTGAGCACATCTGATGCCATGGCTGGCAGGGAACTGTGTGCTGCCATGAGAAACTCTGGTGCAACAATAACCTTATGTTGGTAAGGGGTTCGATGTGTTGTAAAGATCATGTCTATAACCCACAGGTGCAATATGGATGAAGAGAAGATGGAAGAAGGTACAGTTTACACAGCTATTGCAGCATCTCCTACTAGCTGCAGAATTGTGTAGCTAGTATGGCCATTCAGAGTGGACAGATGACTAGAAACAGAACAAGAGATACACTGCATCCCCACAATGAAAAGACAAGTGATAAGATCCAGATGATAGTGTGTGTACCATCAAGCTCTGCGGTAGTGAATATGTTTGGAGGTGAAGTTGGTGACCTGCACCCTTGCTCCATAAAGTCACTTGTACATGAGCCTCCTGCTTCTCCCTATATTTGTGCATTCATGTGGTGAGCAATCAAACACCCTTTCTTACCTTCTCTCACTTTAATCTTGCTTTCCTCCCACATCTCCTGAATGGTGAATCTGAGTTACTTTCTGAATTTAAATAGTTTATTAAACGATTGTATGTTTGTTTACATAAGTATTTGGATTCTGATTCAGGCCTTCAAGGTATGAATAGAGTAAGAAAATGCCATGGCTTTTAGTTTTAGGAACAGATTCTCATTAACATTTCTTTAAAATGGGTGCAAGTATAATTTATGCACACTTTAAGGCCCCCATATGCTGCCAGAGTGGTGTGAAGAGCCCTTAGTTTTTTTTATCCTTTTTAAAGAAAAGAGCAACTTTCTTTTACTAGGTGAGCCATCATCAGGAAAGGCATTCAATATCACCATGTATAAACAGCTCTAGCTAAGAGCATAACAAAGATTCTGCCTTTGCAGCCATAGAACTCAGCCAAAATTCCTTCATCCTTCAAAGCTGGCAATCTGGGGAATAGCTGTTTGTTAAATCCATGGTGGAGAGAGGAGAGGGGGAATTAAATAATTAGATCTCAGTAATTCTGCTAATAATACTTCTTAGAATCTCAGCAACTGCCTCCAAAATTGACAAATTCCATTTTGTAGGAGACAATAAAAGTAACAGTTTTAATCTATCTATCTATCTATCTATCTAGAAATATATAAAAACAATAATGTTAAAACTTGAAAATCCAAAATGTATGGAACATGAATAAAGCTAGAATCAGTGCTCTTCTCTATAAAAACAAGTCCATGCAAACAGCTGCAATGGGAGATTCCTTGCAGCGGCTTGCCAATGACCTTAGCTATGAGGTACTGAAAAGGGGGAAATTTACTGTGCTAGTTTCAACAAAGACTCATTGGATGACATGCACATGTATTGCCAAGAGTTGAAACACGCTGGTTTTCGCTTAAATACATTAGTTTCAGTAAAGGTGGACTGAGCAGTTACAAGGAAAGTGCAGTAGTTTCAACAAATGCCATTGGTTTAAAACCACGACAACCACTTAAATGTGAGTATCTTGAACTATATTTGGTTTAAAAATAAATGCGCTGGCTGGAATACAAGTGTTTCTTTAAAAAGAAAATTAATGCGTTACACATCTGGGTCAAGTAAAGAGAAGCATTAGCTGAAACACTGAGCATCATGTTTTTTTAAGCTGAAAAATATCCACGTAAATAAGAATATTTTCAATGAATCCTAAATGTAAAGGAATCGATAGATACAAGTTCAAACACACACAATGAATTCTCACTGAAAGCAATACACAAACTCAAATGCACACATTTTTAACCCACTTATAACTGATTCTGACTCATTATTGACTTCATTCCAGGCCTTTCCTAAAAGAACAATGGATATTTGTACCAAACCATGGAAGTGTTTTTGGTTTGATCCATTTCTACAGGTGACTCAATGATTTGTAGGGCCAAATTCTGCGCTTTACACCTTCTGTGTAGTTCCTCTGACTGACGGTGATGCATTCGAGATGTATTAAAGCATAATTTCACCTTTGGGGTACAGTTTTTAACCTCTGAAATGTTTACAGATATTTGATATTGTAAATTAAAATTGTGTGTATAGATTTAAACCATTTTAGTCTAAATCAGTGGTTCTCAACATATTTACCATTGTGGGCCGAATCCAATACTACCTGTATGGCCCTGAGGATCTCACATGGGCTGCAGCTCTGTGCTGACTGGGCTGCAGGTTGAGAACCACTGGTCTAAATTATGTATCTTAGTTTTTGACACAGTGGAAATCAGGGGTGGCAGGTGAACCATGGGCTTGGGGAGGCTAGCCCCTGGTCTGGCCCCCCCCTTCTGCCCGAGGCCCCCCCCCTGATCACCCCAACGAGGCCCCGAGGGCCCCCCCCCCCCCCCGCCCTCAGCCCTGGGCCACCCGAGTGCCTCCAGCCCCGTAGCGCTGGGTGGCATAGCCACAGCGCCTGGGGGGCCCCAGCCACTCCAAGTCCCGCCCACAGGTCGGCCACCCTAGCCCCAGCCCCAATATGTTTCCTGGAAGGGGAGCAGCCTGCCTGGGCTGGGGCCAAGGGCTTAGCGGCAAGCAGGAGGGGCCTCGGGGCGGGGCCACGCGGAGTTGTCTGGGGAGATTTAGCCTCCCCCAGCCTATGATACGTGCCTCCCATGGTGGAAATCCTCCCTCTCCCAAAATGCTGTTTATCACACTTTACAAGCAGAGACAAATCTCACCTCTTCATTTTCAATTTTGAGTGTGGCCAGTCGTGACTGTAGCTGTTGATACCTGAGCATAAGCTCTGCTTGTACCGGTTGCTGGGCACTGACCTGACAAACCTAACAAAGAATCAAAAATGGCTATTAGACTCAGAGAAAATTTCAATTCACCAACGCTGGCTTCTGTCACTCTCTTTAAAGCCAGATGAATTGCTGTTGAAACTATTAAAAATGTAATAAAATAATTGATTTGGAAAATGCAAATCTAAATTTAAAGTATATATGTACTATGAGATGTAGAAATAGTCACAATATTCTATGAAAATAGATAGCAGCCTTGATGGTCCTCTGCAATATGGCTTTTGGCTGCTACAGGCATAGGCGCCAACTTCTCCTGGCGCCGGTGGGTGCTCGCGCCCCCTCCGCCCCCGGCCCTGCCCCGACTCCACCCCTGCCCCCCATTCCAACCCCTTCCCCAAAGTCCCCACCCCAACTCCGCCCCTTCCTTGCCCCTATTGGTCTCCTTCCCCAAATCCCCGCCCCGGCTCTGCCTCTTCCTCGCTTCCTCCTCAGGGGAGGAGGTGGAGGCGGGGGGACGGGGTGGGGAGCTGCCGGTGGGTGTAGAGCACCCACCAATTTTTCCCCATGGGTGCTCCAGCCCTGGAGCACCCACGGAGTCGGCGCCTGTGGCTATAAGGCCACAAAGCAGTGCACATCCAAGATTTCCCTTGTGGAAGGGAAATCCCCAGATGCTGTAGCATTCTATGCCTCCACCAGTCCCTAATATAGTGGAAAATAGGGGCATGGTTGGAGACCACTTGCATTCTGGCAATCTCCAGATATCATGCTCCAAGTGCAGTGTAAAACAGCTCTGAGGCCCCTCTAAGTTGCACTGGGAAGCCCCACTGGTTGGTGGTGATATAAAGCCATCATTGCCTCTGTTCCTGTGCTGGGCACATCTTGGAAGCAAAAAGAAATCTGAGCCAATGTCATTATAGTGTAATACAAAACACAACAACAAAGGAGTGCTCTTGCATCAGAATTATTTTGAGCAGCTCTGAATAGCATGTTTCCAGATCTGCCAAAGGTTTTGTTTGCTGATCCATTTGTGTCTGCGTAAATAATACTGGCTTACATTTCACTTTAACTAGATTCTTTGTAGAAGTGGATAAAAGCCACATCCTGCAGAAAATAATTCAGAATTCACAACAGGGAAGTTTTCCTTTGTGCAGAAACAGAAATTATTGGTTTGGATTTACCCTATTTGTCTCTAAGAAGTCACTAACTACTGACCTCATCACCCATATGAGACTGGAACTCAAATTTCATTGGCGGACAAAAGGCAGTGGGGTACATCTCCATGAATCTCTGCTTGTCACTTCGTGGCTCCAAGCTGTCAACAGCATTCTCAATGATGTCTAGGCCCTCATGTCTAGAGGTTTCAAGGTTATATTCCGCAGAGAGATATGTTCTTAGGGCTCTGTTCAGACTTGCATGGTATCCAAGATCGGAACACTAATAATACAACAAGGAGAGACGAAAATAAATTTAAAAAGCAGAGACAAATTGCAATGGCCATGGCATAAAAAACTGCATAACAACAATTAGAACTTATAGCATCAGTGCTTTTTTTTTTTCCATCTTCAAAGCGCTTTACAAACTAACTAATTAAACCTCACAACAGCAATGTCAAGGTGATAAGTAGCTATTATTCCCATTTGATAGATGGAAAAATGGAAGCAAAGAGATTAAGGGACAATTTTAAAAGGGAAGTCAGAGGCCTCTACACAGAAGTGAGTGAATGTTTCTGGATATACATGTGCAATTGCCACAGTTGCACAGAAAAATGCGAGTTTGCACACGCTAATGGGTATTTCAATATCATTTCTGTGTATGAAACTGAGACTTTTTTATAATCTGGCCTTATGTAACTTCTCCAAGACAACCTAATAAAATCAGTGGCATAGTCAGAATTAAAACTAGCGTTCCTGTTTGTCAGTCCTGTGCTTAGATTAACACCCAAAGCACTCTCCTCTCTTTGAGATGTTTTTTGGTTTAAATCAGAACAAAATCCTCCTCTAAAACAGAGTAAATTTGATTTATTGATTTGCATTTTCCATCTTTTATTAATATTTTAAAGCTATATCTAAGCAAATACTATTCATCAACACTTATTTTTAAAGAAAATAAGAGCTTTCAGGCTTGATCCTGCCTTGGTTTACACTTTCAGAACATCTGTCAGGAGGCGTTTGCAGCAGAACAAAATGTCCAGTATCTACTAGGCAGTGGTTCACCAGGGGTACGTGTACCCCTGGGGGTACTCTGAGGTCTTCTGGGGGTATTCAACTAATCTAGGTCAGTGTTTCTCAACCTGGGGGTGGCAGACCCCGGGGGGGTTGAGGTATGGGTTTAGGGGAGTCACAATTGCAGGGCTGGCATTAGGGGGTGGCAAGCAGGGCAACTGCCTGGGGTTCTATGGTACAGGGGGCCCCACAAAGCTAAGTAACACGCTTCAGCCACACTGCCTGGGGCTCGGGCTTCACACAAGGCCCACAAGTGAAAAACAGGCTCAAGTGTCACACTGAAATGTAAGTACAATATTTATATTCCAATCGATTTATTTTATAAATATAAGGTAAAAATTAGAAAATCAGCAATTTCTCAGTAACAGTCAGCTGTGACACTTTTGTAATTTTATGTCTGCTTTTGTAAGCAAGTAGTTTTTAAGTGAGGTGAAACTTGGGGTACGCAAGACAAATCAGCCTCCTGAAAGGGGTACAGTAGCCTGGAAAGGCTGAGAGCCACTGACTAGGGTGTCCCCAGGAATACACTACAGCCTTAAGGGAGGTTGGCACCAGTCAGGGAGGGTACATGGCTAGGGCAGTTGGGGGATATGCTACTTCAGTGCATCCCCCAGTCGTCTTCAGTCACCCTGGGAGCCCAGGTGCAGTTTAAAGCTGTCCTCCCTCTGCAGAACCCAAAGGTAGAATGGTGCAGGAGGGCAAAAAGGCAATTTGCATCCCACCCTACGCCAGCAGGGTGAATCAAGCCTATTTGTGTATTCATGCATACACACCTCCCTCTAACTGTTATAGCCTCTTAGGGAAAGTAATAAGTAATATCATGCTTTGATCCCTCTGTCTTATCTACACAAAGAATTTCCAAACTATTTACCATAGCTGAGTCTAAAAATTCCCTTCCATGGAAACAAATCTTTCACCTCGCCCCATGTTTAGGACTCTAATCACTAGTCCTAAGAGATCAAATTCTGCTCTGAAATCTGTGACAAAAAAGGGTTGTTTCATTCACATTACTGACCACAAAACTGCTGTGATCAGCAACAGCTTTCAGCCTTAGAGGTTACTGCAGGTCATTTACTGCTGATGGGATAATGGCCACCCAAAACACAGTACATGAACCATTTTAAGTCTACAAAAGAAGGATTTCAATCTCAGCCAAGTGCATGTCCAATGATAGCCTTTCCCCTCCACACTGGAAATTTGTGTTACATTTACTGAAACCAAAGTCCCTAACTTTTTAATTTAACCGCATCCATATTTTAAAGGTTTCCAGACTAAAAAAATAAGGGTGTTAGCATTTATTTGTAAAGGAATTACCTCTCTCTGTTTTTCCCTATGTTGTGTGTTAAATAAGCTTTTTAATTCAACTCACTATCTTGGATGAAAAGACAGACAAAAAATGATGGTAAGAAAGAGGATCAGGCCAGCTGTTTTTATTTTATGAGTATTATATTAATTCCAGCCAAAATTCATGGGACACTAAACTAAGAGGAAAAAGAAATACAAATGGCAATGGCTAATTTTACTATAGTGGCCAGTTAGTTACTTGTTTTAAAACTACAGGCAGTTAGAATCTGAATTTAGGAAAATAGGAACTTTCAGATTTGTATTAATGAAATAACTTATTGATTTATAGAGGAAAGCACAATTACAAGCACGTGGAATTTTGATGTAGCTTCCTCAGAGAGCCAGAAAATGGGGTTGCAGCCTTCATCTTCTGATAGTCCCAAGAATGCCAGGATTCACCCCTCAATGCACTGAGCAATCAATCAACCACAAGAATTAAAACCACAATCATCATTTGTTTGGGTAAATAAGGCTGCCTGGGACTATCTTTGAAACTTATCAGTACTGCTTCTGAATCAAGCTGAAGAGTTTTTCAAGTGAAGCAGGATAACCTCTTTAGCACTTCACAGCACTCTTATTGCCAGCAAGAGAAGTGAGAATGAGACCAGAATTTGAACCAGAGATTTCCGCACAGTAGATTTGTACATGGAGTTTAATGTTTGAATTTGGATTTGTGCTTCAAAATTAATGTGAATAAAAATAAAATTTGACTGAATGACAATTTGCCTTTACTTTCTTTAACAAGAAAATCCAGAGACTCTAAACCCCTCCCCTCCCCCCCAAAAACAAAACCAAACAAACTCTATGAAGCTTGGCACCTCACAGGCTTGGGTTAAAATATACATATATATTTTCAAAAAATGCCCCAATCCAGTGGCGTAGCCAGGTTCTAAGTGCAGGGGGAGCAAACATAAAAAAGGCGCCCCACCTTGGCTCCTCCTCTGGCCATGCCCCCCCTTGGCTCCTCCTCCGGCCGCTCCATGCCCCCCCTGCTGGCTCCTCTGGCCGCGCCGCGTCCCACCCCCCTTGGCTTCTCTGGCCATGCTGCGGCCATGCTGCGACCCCCCTCGGAGGGGCTCGGTCTGGGGGGAGGGGGGCCGGGAGCGGCCCGGCCGAGGAAGTTTTTAGAGTGCGGTCGGAGGGGGGGGGGGAAGAGGCAAGAAAGTTTCACGCGCCCCCAGGTGGGACTCACCAACTGCCGAGTGACCTCGGAGGAAGCCATGACATCGTGCCGGGCGGCCGCCGTGGGAAGGGGAGGGGAGAGGCGTGCGGGAAGCTCCAGGCGGGCTGGAGTCTTGGACGTGACGTGAGCGGATGGTCGGTCTCTGAACTCCCCCCCCCCCCAGACACCCCACTCATTGGCTCATTGGGTCCGCGCTTACCTGGCTGCCCAGGTGCCTCTGATGAGCGACCTTCTTCCCCACAGCGCCAGGGAAAAGCGTCCCTGACTGAATGCCACCGCCTGGCTCGTTGGGCCTGGGAGAGAGCAGACCAGGCGCAGATGGCAGAGCCGCTGAGCTCTCCTGCTGGGCTGATGGGGCTGAACGTGAGCTCCCCGGAGCGCAAAGCTCAGCCCGGTACAGAGGAAACATGGACAAACTTGAACACGGGCGCTGGGGGTAGGGGAGGCAAAGCCTTTAGGTCACTATGAACAGCGGTGCTGGGAGTGAGTTTAAAAGAGAAGTAGCCCAGCTTTTGGCTGGATTTCCCCCAACTCCCCAGATGCTGATCCCATGCTTTCCCCATGAGAAAGAGTCCAAAAGAGAAAGCCGCTTCCAGTAACTGGAAACCAAACCTCTCCCCCCACGTTTTATGGCTGAGTCCAGCGCAACCTAGGAGCCGGCTCCCCACGGGGAACGGAGACCAAGCAGCCGGTACATCCCCCTGCGGGCAGCGCTGCTCAGGGGGCACTTTGCACCCCCACCGCCCAGAGAGCTGGAGCAGCAGCAGCACCTGTGCCCAGGCAGTGACAGCGCCTCCTCCCATCCCTCACTTTCTTCTCCCGCGCTCCGAGCCGGGCGCCCTGCTGCAGCCCCTCCACGCTGCGAAGCCTCCGGCACTCTGCCTAGTGCCGGAATGTCAAATGTGCTGAGGGGAAGCGGCTGCTTCCCCTGCACCCCGCTAGCTAGGCTACTGCCCCAATCCAAAACACAATTTGTTGTGGATGGATCAGAGATTTTTGCACTCCGTGAAAGGTTCCATCAGGCAGTATCCCAAAGACTACTAAGAAAGAAGAGGATGAAAGGTTTAATCTACCACCAGAGTGGACTTGCAACCACAGTTGAAAAATAGGGATGGCTGAACCATTTTGGAAGGGATACGAGTCACCATTTTTTAACCTTCCTCCATTTCTAGAACCAAAACTGTTAAGATTCTGACACTTTTAGATAAACTGCTGTCACTGCTAGGAGTGGAATTGTCAAATCTCTCACAAAAGCACATTCTCTCAAGATTTTCAGACTCTAGCCTGCAGAGCCAAGACATCTGGAAAGTTTGAATAAGCAACCAAAACGTTTTGACATTTATCCAAACTGAACTCAACCTCTGAACCTCTGTGAGATTCACTCATCAATAACTGAAAGCAGAAGTCCTGGTGGTTAAAGAGATCCATAGCCAACTAATGGGTAGCCATTGAAGCTGGACAGATGATCTGAATAAGCTCTCCCCTAGCATCTATTGAGGAACTGTGCAAAAGACTTCAGGCAAAGCAGTTGCATAGTTGCAACTGCTTTGCCTACATGATCAGTAATCAGACCTGCTTTGCAAAGTGATCAGTTTTGGCTGTTTTGGGTTAAAGTTCACTTTAGATTTGGACACAGGTAAAATAAAATAATGTTACGCTTTTTGTATGAATAAAGGGCAGCAGAA